CCATGTCTGCAACATGTACAATGACAGTGTTGTGTCCCACTTCAGGGAAATCTTAAGAAACGCCAGAAAAAGACCTCTCTGGACAGATATTTTGTGCAACAGGGGTCCAGTGACTCAAGTTGTTCCCAGTGGCATTAAAAGAAGAAGGGAAGTAACCCCAGATAAGGACTTGCTACCTAAAGTCCTAATGGAAGGAGATTCTCCTTCAAAACAATAGTGTACACCTTCCTCCTATCCCCTCCTCCCATCTTCCATCCACCCAGAAGTCTTCAATAAAGGTAAGTGTAATGTTATTATTATTTTTTTAAATGCATGTACTTGATTTCTGATTGTTTTCATTATGTAAATCTTTATTTAAATTGAAAAAAAAAAATTATTTTAATATTTTTGGGTGTCTAGAATGGATTAATTTTATTTCCATTATTTCTTATGGGGAAAATGGTTTCGAGTTTCGTGAATTTCGACCTTCGGCGGGCTCTCTGGAACGGATTAATCACGAAACTCGGGGGTCCACTGTACTTTCGTACATTCCCTTCTTTGCCTCCATACATAACATTTTTTGCCTCCACATATACCTCGATGCACCACTCACCTTTTTTCCTTCATCAATTCTATGATTAACCTCATCCTTCATAAATCCATCCGCTGACACGTCAACTCCCAAATATGTGAAAACATTCACTTCTTCCATACTACTCCTCCCCAATTTGATGTCCAATTTTTCTTTATCTAAATCATTTGATACTCTCATTACCTTACTCTTTTCTATGTTCACTTTCAACTTTCTACCTTTACACACACTCCCAAATTCGTCCACTAACCTTTGCAATTTTTCTTTAGAATCTCCCATAAGCACAGTATCATCAGTAAAAAGTAACTGTGTCACTTCCCATTTCGTATTTACCATCCTCTACCACCATCACTACTAGAGAAGTTGCAGAGGTTGGTGGATGAATTTGGTAGGGTATGCAAAAGAAGAAAATTGAAAGTGAATACAGGAAAGAGTAAGGTTATGAGGATAAAAAGATTAGGTGATGAAAGATTGGATATCAGATTGGAGGGAGGGAGTATGGAGGAGGTGAATGTATTCAGATATTTGGGAGTGGACGTGTCAGTGGATGGGTCTATGAAAGATGAGGTGAATCATAGAATTGATGAGGGGAAAAGGGAGAGCGGTGCACTTAGGAGCCTGTGGAGACAAAGAACTTTGTCCTTGGAGGCAAAGAGGGGAATGTATGAGAGTATAGTTTTACCAATGCTCTTATATGGGTGTGAAGCATGGGTGATGAATGTTGCAGCGAGGAGAAGGCTGGAGGCAGTGGAGATGTCATGTCTGAGGGCAATGTGTGGTGTGAATATAATGCAGAGAATTCGTAGTTTGGAAGTTAGGAGGAGGTGCGGGATTACCAAAACTGTTGTCCAGAGGGCTGAGGAAGGGTTGTTGAGGTGGTTCGGACATGTAGAGAGAATGGAGCAAAACAAGAATGACTTCAAGAGTGTATCAGTCTGTAGTGGAAGGAACGCGGGGTAGGGGTCGGCCTAGAAAAGGTTGGAGGGAGGGGGTAAAGGAGGTTTTGTGTGCAAGGGGCTTGGACTTCCAGCGGGCAAGCGTGAGCGTGTTTGATAGGAGTGAATGGAGACAAATGGTTTTTAATACTTGACGTGCTATTGGAGTGTGAGCAAAGTAACATTTATGAAGGGATTCAGGGAAACCGGCAGGCCGGACTTGAGCCCTGGAGATGGGAAGTACAGTGCCTGCACTCTGAAGGAGGGGTGTTAATGTTGCAGTTTAAAAACTGTGGTGTAAAGCACCCTTCTGGCAAGACAGTGATGGAGTGAATGATGGTGAAAGTTTTTCTTTTTTCAGACCACCCTGCCTTGGTGGGAATCGGCCAGTGTGTTAATAAAAACAAAATACTTTACTCTTCTTATAACACTTCTGCTTTGTAAAAACATCTCATAAGATAACTTTTTCTCTTTTATCACACCTTTTACTTCATCATTCCACCAATCACTCCTCTTTCCTCCTGCACCCACCCTCCTATAACCTCAAACTTCTGCCCCACATTCTAATACTGCATTTTTAAAACTATTCCAACTCTCTTCAACCCCTTCACTACTCATACTTGCACCAGTCCACCTTTCTGCCAATAGTTGCTTATATCTCACCCGAACTTCCTCCTCCCTTAGTTTATTCACTTTCACTTCCCTCCTACTTGTTGTTGCCACCTTCCTCTTATCCCATCTACCTCTTACTCTAACTGTAGCTATAACTAAATAATGATCCGATATATCAGTTGCCCCTCTATAAACATGTACATCCTGGAGCCTACCCATCAACCTTTTATCCACCAATACATAATCTAACAAATTACTTTCATTACATGCTATATCATACCTTGTATATTTATTTATCCTCTTCTTCATATAATATGTATTACTTATTACCAAACCTCTTTCTACACATAGCTCTATTAAAGGCTCCCCATTTTCATTTACCCCTGGCACCCCACATTTACCTACTACTCCCTCCACAACATTTTTGCCCACTTTAGCATTAAAATCCCCAACCACCATTACTCTCACACTTGGTTCAAAACTCCCCACGCATTCACTCAACATTTCCCAAAATCTCTCTCTCTACACTTCTCTCTTCTCCAGGTGCATATATGCTTACTATAACCCACTTTTCACATCCAACCTTTATTTTACTCTACATAATCCTTGAATTAATACATTTATAGTCCCTCTTTTCCTGCCATAACTTATCCTTCAACATTATTGCTATTCCTTCTTTAGCTCTAACTCTATTTGAAGCCCCTGACCTAATCCCATTTATTCCTCTCCACTGAAACTCTCCCACCCCCTTCAGCTTTGTTTCACTTAAAGCCAGGACATCCAGCTTCTTCTCATTCATGACATCCATATTATCATCTCCTTCTTATCATTTGCACAACATCCACGCACATTCAGACTTCCCACTTTGACAATTTTCTTCTTATTCTTTTTAGTAATTATTGCAGGAAAAGGGGTTACTAGCCCATTGTTCCCGGCATTTTAGTTGACTTTTACAACACGCATGGCTTACGGAGGAAGGATTCTTATTCCACATCCCCATGGATATAAAAGGAAAAGTAGTAAGACCAAGAACTATTAAGATAAAATCAAAGAAAACTCAGATGAGTGTGTATAAATAAACATGTACATGTATGTGTAGTGTGACCTAAGTGTAAGTAGAAGTAGCAAGACATACCTGTAATCTTGCATATTTATGAGACAGACAAAAGACACCAGCAATCCTACCATCATGTAAAACAATTACAGGCTTTCATTTCACACTCACTTGGCAGGACTGTAGTACCTCCCTGGGTGGTTGCTGTCTACCAACCTACTACGAAATCAAATTCGACGAAAATCAGGGCAAACGAAAACCGAGGTTCCACTGTAATTCTAATTTTTGGTGTCTCAGTATATGTAACTCATCTTTTCTGAAACAAATACAATACATTTCACTGTAATTTGGTTCATACAGTACTTCTCTTGCCATCAGTACTTCAGGTGTTAGCTCATTTTCCTAATTCTCTTGCCCTCTTCAATACATTTGTGAAATTTGGGGCTTGCTTTCTAATGAGATTACATAACGCAAAAGTAGTTTTTGCATTGGAAACAGTAACACCAAGGATTTAAGTCATCTTAGGGATCATAGTTTTCTCATAAGCTAGTCCTCTTAGATAATTTGATACCCAGTATCCCTCTTTGTCTATATACATGAAATTCCTAATACAGTGGACCCCCGCATAACGATCACCTCCAAATGCGACCAATTATGTAAGTGTGTTTATGTAAGTGCGTTTGTACGTGTATGTTTGGGGGTCTGAAATGGACTAATCTACTTCACAATATTCCTTATGGGAACAAATTCGGTCAGTACTGGCACCTGAACATACTTCTGGATTGAAAAAATATCGTTAACCGGGGGTCCACTGTAGTTTTCTTAGCCCTGTTTTTCTTTTTTCTGTTCTTTCCTCTCAGTACATTGTATAATCTTCAGAATAAGAATGACTACCTGAGCCTGACTGTCTCTTTGCCTCCCTCCTCCCCCAACTCAACTTCTGGCTTTCTCCATTTTTTTCTTTCTCACTTGGGACTATAACTGTCCTAGACAGATCAACACATCATCCAGCTCTTATTTCCAATTTGTGAGTTAGGTGTGAATTGTTTCTGCCATGGTTGTATGGCTCTTTCATCATACATCAGCTGTCTTCCACCAGCACAGTGACCTAAAGCTGGAAAGCATATTTTTACTCTTGTTATATTATTATTATTATTCATTGAAAAGTACTAAAACCTGTAGGAGTCTTGCAAATTTTTCATACATTTGTATTTTAGTTAAATGACCATTCTGTTGACTGACATTTCTATGTATGTACACAGCATTTTAACCCATTCTTCTTCTTTATAGGCTTATATATTCCATAGCAACAGATGGTTGGATTGATACTAATAAAGTCCAATTTGTACCTAGTACACAAAATTGATTTCTATCCCTGCAAGCTATAAATATTTCAATGTTCAATACTAAACATGTTTATATTTTTCTAAATATTTTATGTGCATGAGGCTTGGCTTCAGTTGCTTTGTATTTTTGTTTGTTTGCTTTTGTCTTGTAAATAGATATCATGTTATATTAGTTTAATTTAATGAAGGTGAATACATCATAGCACAACACAACATTTGAGAAAAAATATTGAAAATATGTTGCATTTCATAAATTCTGTGGTTACTAAAATAATTAACCTTGTTTCAGGGATCTACAGTGCATATCTTTTCAATACAAAATATCTTCATAGCATTGTAATTTTTTGTATTCTTCATCTGTTGTGTTTATTATTATAAAAAAAAATTAATCAGTTTTGAAAATTATACCATTAGTGTACGATACCCAGCATATTAATTTTTTTATTTCTTAAGAAAATTCATTCATGCTTATGTGTATCTAGATATGTTGATGCAACTCCTGACTGGGCAAAGCAACTGGAAGCGGATTTGCCATCAGGAAAAACAACAGTGACCTTTGTTGCACGCTCTCCAGTCTCTGAGGAGTCAGCAGCATGCTCCTTCACAGTGGAAGTTGTAGGTTAGTCTTGTCTACATTCCTCAGCCACTTGTAATAGTTGTCCTTTTACTTTGTTTTACCCTAAATATCTCATACCTCATCAACAGATCTGTGGATGACATAAAAAACGATGTGAGGGTGGCAAATTATGCAATCTTCCAGTTTCATATAATTAGGGATAAACTGATATATCTGCTCTTCTAGAATGACAGCTAGAGAATGAATGATTAAATGCTAGTTTTTCTAATTTGGATTCCCCTTCTTTGATGGGAATTAGCCATTGTAAAAGAAAAATTAATAAACTTTTGGCAGATTTTTTCAGTGCATTAAATCTCATCTTTGTGCTTCATAATGTGTCTTAAGAAAGTTTGATCATTTAATCTTTGTATCTACAGATAAGGAGGATCCACAAGTATTTGGTTGCCCAAAGTCATTCACTGTTCATCTACCAGAAGGAGAAGTGAGTGCTGAAGTAACATGGAAGGAACCAGTCTTTAAGGATAATGTGGAAGTTGCTCATCTATGGAAGTCTTTGGTTAGTATGAGCATCTTTCATGATACTGTTTCCCAAAATATAACAGAGAACATTCATATTGTTAAAGTTTTCCTGTCTATTTATACCTGAGTATGTGATGGCATATTTCTTTGCAAACTACTTCTGAGGTGACAGTAGGATAAACAAGAACATAAACCCTTGATTTAACAGACTAATAAAGTGGAGCATATGGCCGGTAATGGTGATTGTGGTGGATGGGGATTGCAGTGGTTGTACTGTGATCTTAACAATAATGAACAGTTCTGTTACTAACTGACATAGTCCATTGTTTTCAAATCATTTGACAAAGTGGATTCTGTCCCATATTTCTGAAGTATGTTAAATTGAATGATTTACTGAATTTTGAGGAAAGCTCATTTGCAATATTCTGTATTTTTTCTTGGTCTATCACAAACCATCTCCAAAAAACAGTATCAGCAGCACTGCCTTTAGAGTGCACCTGCTTAGATGCCACAATCCCCAGTCTTGCTTTCATTTTTATCACTGTGGCACAATTTACTAGTCATTCACTAGTGCAAATATGTGTGTGTAATTATTTTTGTTTTATAAATGTTCAGATGAGAGACTAAAATGGAAAAAAAATAAAATTTTCACAAACAATTACCAATGCTTCATCTGCTACTTTCATTGTATTAATGTGTCACCACATTATATTGCCTTCCCAACACCAGAACACTCAGTACTTTATTTACCTTAACCCTTTGAGGGTCCATCCCGTAGTTCTACGGCTTTGAAGCCAGGGCTCAAGCTGTAGTACATGTACTGTGATGAGCTCGACTCACTCAGATATGCTGTGAGAGGTAAATTTGGGCCTAGATATGAAGGAATGCATCTTAGGTGGAAAATGTGCACCATATAAAACAAATCCTGCACCACCCAGTGCATAATGAGAAAAAAAACTGCGACCATGTTTTTTATTAAAATAGCGACTTTGCAGGGTATTTTCGTATTGTTTTATGGTTGTATTCTGAGTTTCTTGGTCTCATTTGATAGAATAGAAGATATGTTATAGAAATAGAGATGATTTTGATTGGTTTTAGTACTGAAAATAGCTTGAAATTGAGCTTAAAATAGCGGAAATGTTCGATTTTTGTTGATGTTCAAGAGTAAACAAATTACATCACACATCCAGTACATGTCAGCTGGTGGGTCTAATGTGCATTCATGAATGCACTGATATTATTTATACAATTATTACAATATTGCACAACAGTAAATCTTCTATTTTTTGGTGTGAATAAAAATTCTTTGTGAATAAAAAATCAAAATGAAATTCATCTGTAAAGCATGGAAATGTTACTGATAAACAGAGGAAATGATATTTTAGTACCAGGAATGCCTGCATTGTTTATTCTGGACCCTATTTTGAAATTGGAACATTTTGAACTACTGTGTGAAATTGGCCAAATTACCAATTTCTGATCACTTTATTGGGTAGTTGAAATAGTTAATTGGGCAATTTTGGCAATTTCTTTTGCTCGACTCACTCAGATATGCTGTGAGAGGTAAATTTGGGCCTAGATATGAAGGAATGCATCTTAGGTGGAAAATGTGCACCATATAAAACAAATCCTGCACCACCCAGTGCATAATGAGAAAAAAAACTGCGACCATGTTTTTTATTAAAATAGCGACTTTGCAGGGTATTTTCGTATTGTTTTATGGTTGTATTCTGAGTTTCTTGGTCTCATTTGATAGAATAGAAGATATGTTATAGAAATAGAGATGATTTTGATTGGTTTTAGTACTGAAAATAGCTTGAAATTGAGCTTAAAATAGCGGAAATGTTCGATTTTTGTTGATGTTCAAGAGTAAACAAATTACATCACACATCCAGTACATGTCAGCTGGTGGGTCTAATGTGCATTCATGAATGCACTAATATTATTTATACAATTATTACAATATTGCACAACAGTAAATCTTCTATTTTTTGGTGTGAATAAAAAATCAAAATGAAATTCATCTGTAAAGCATGGAAATGTTACTGATAAACAGAGGAAATGATATTTTAGTACCAGGAATGCCTGCATTGTTTATTCTGGACCCTATTTTGAAATTGGAACATTTTGAACTACTGTGTGAAATTGGCCAAATTACCAATTTCTGATCACTTTATTGGGTAGTTGAAATAGTTAATTGGGCAATTTTGGCAATTTCTTTTGCTCAGTAGATAAAATGGAAAACATACTAGTGAAAGAGCTAAGAATTTGGTCTAATGGAATGATGTACCTGGCTGAAAATAGGACTCAGTGTGGGCAAAATCGCTCGTGCGTAAATATTGCTGACAAGGCAAAATTCGCGAGAGCATAATTTTGTCAATTTTTTATCAAATTTCATAATTTTTGTTTTATTACTTCCAGAAAAAGATTCTCTACCATTTCACAAGAAAAAATAATAATAAATTTTTTTTTTAAATTCTTGGACCCTGTGGGGAATTTTCAGATTGGGGGTCGGGATCCTCAGAGGGTTAATATGTTTTTACTTTTCGAAATGCCTCTTCTAAAATGTCTTTGCTACAATTTGTAAAAAATATTATTCCTACTGTAGTTATAAATATAAAAATTAGTTTACTGTAGGTCTCCAAGAGTTCTGTGTCAGAAAGAGAAAAAAATTTTTTTTCTTGTATTCAGATGTTTTGGTACTGTTTATTATTATAATAAAGAATGGGAGGGTAGCTTTCATTCCTTGGGTCAAGAGTCCTTCACCAGTATCAAGGCACTGTGCCCACTAAGTGTTATGATGAGATATATTATCAGCTTACCATATGCTATACCTGTAAACTACTGATAAGAAGGACACTCCTCAATCATTATTTTATTCAGGAGCCTGGCAGACATCTCACATCAGGGAACTACCCAGTACATTATGTTGCCATGGACCCATACAGGAACCGTGCAAAATGTTCTTTCACTGTCACAGTCCAGTGTAAGTATAATGTCTAAATATAGTTTGTGTGTGTGTGTCCTATTTTCAAAGATCAGTATCCTGTCTGCTGTATATACAGTATTTTGTTATATGCTATAATTTACAAAAATGTAAATACTTTTTAGAATTTTGTATCATTAATCATATTTATTAAATTGGACTGTCGTACCAGCTGAATTTTATTAAGTTTTTACACATTTTATAAACTAAGTTTATTTAAATAGCATTGATGCCTGAATGAATAATCATTTACATTTTTAGTAGAAAAGATAACCTGGCCAAGATTTATGCTTGCATGTGTAGTCTGATTCAGCATCCAGGCCACACAGTTCCCCCATGCCTACAAGTTCAACCTCAGGGTCGTGACTTGTGCTCACAATGCACTCGTGTCCATATGCTCACTGCCCCTCCCACCACCAGCAGTTGCCACCCACAAGACTAGTATGGCACCATTATGCAGCTACATATACATGAATAGCTGAGTTTGAGATAAAAAATGTAGTACTGTATAATAATAACATTATTTCATGATTCTTTTCTAACCAGTAAACTTGTAGAGAACTTGCATTGTCATTGGTCACTTCATTTTGTTTTGGACTTTGTTGTTCAGCATACACATTGTCAATAAGCTATCTTTCGTGACAAATACAACTTCCTGTTAATACTAAATAGTTATAATGGGTCATGAAAATTGGTTTCTTAATGAAGCTTAGATTTTTTTGGGTGCTCAGTTCCCCTCCCCATATATACACACACACAAAATAATATAAAATGTCATCCATTATGCCCAAAACAAGTTGTGGTGATCTTGGACATCATGTGCAAGACCTTAGTTTACAGCTTTCATGTAGAGAAGCTTACCATCATTTTCCTTGTGTACAGTGTACACGCTCACCTCATTTATTATTTTACTTAGACTTGTAATTTTTGACCTTGCATATTTCTTTCCTTTATAATTGTGATTGGTTTAAAATTCTTTTCTGTTCCCCATTTTCTCTAGTATGTATCAAATATTTTTTATATAAGAATTATTTTTTGTAATGACGTTCGTTGCACATACTGTATTACATTTAATGTTCTGGGTTCATCACCCCTGCAGTTCAGTGTCAGACCATGCCTCCTAAATTTGAAGGAAAACAATTTCTAGTGTCATCTTGTGTGAATGGTCTGTTCAGGCAATTTATATTTCAAAGTACAGCTTAAAAAAAAAAAAAAGAGGTAACTGGATGCGAGTCTTGCCATTTCATATTATGAAGGCAATTTGTGTTCTTTGGAATAATAAATCTACATCTGTTGTTAATGCTGATGTTCAGGTAAGCATAATACACACACAGCCCATAAAAAGACTCGGATCTCTGGGTATATCTGCTAGCATTCTTACTATATTTATATTTTGTGTATGCTCATGATAGTTACATTTTGCTAATGATACTGTGCTTATGGGAGATTCTAAAGAAAAGTTGCAAAGGTTAGTAGACCAGTTTGGGAGGGTGTGTAAAGGTAGAAAGTTGAAAGTGAACATAGATAAGAGTAAGGTGATGAGGGTATCAAATGATTTAGATAAAGAAAAATTGGATATCACATTGGAGAGAGGGAGTATGGAAGAGTGAATATTTTCAGATATTTGGGAGTTGACTTGTCAGTGGATGGGTTTATGAAGGATGAGGTTAACCATAGAAGTGATGAAGAAAAAAGGCGAGTGGTGCGTTGAGGTATCTGTGGAGACAAAAAACATTATCTATGGAGTCAAAGAAGGGAATGTATGAAAGTATAGTGGTACCAACACTCTTATATGGGTGTGAAGCTTGGGTTGTAAATGCTGCAGCGAGGAGATGGCTAGAAGTGGTGGAGATGTCCTGTCTAAGGGTTATGCAAAGAATTCGGAGTGTGGAAATTAGGAGGTGTGGAGTTACTAAAAGTATTAGTCAGAGGGCTGAAGAGGGGTTGTTGAGGTGGTTTGGTCATTTAGAGAGAATGGATCAAAGTAGAATGACTTGGAGAGCATATAAATCTGTAGGGAAAGGAAGGAGGGGTAGGGGTTGTCCTCGAAAAGGTTGGAGGGATGGGGTAAAGGAGGTTTTGTGGGCGGGGGGCTTGGACTTCCAGCAAGCGTGTGCGAGTGTGTTGGATAGGAGTAAATGGAGATGAATGGTTTTTGGGACTTGACAAGCTGTTGGAGTGTGAGCAGGGCAATATTTAGTGAAGGGATTCAGGGAAACTGGTTATTATAGATTTAGCCGGACTTGAGTCCTGGAAATGGGAAGTACAATGCCTGCACTTTAGAGGAGGGGTCTGGGATATTGACAATTAGGAGGGACTTCTAAACTGTCATATCAGAGTGCCTCTGTAAAGAGAGTGATTATGTATGAGTGAGGTGAAAGTGTTGAATGATGAAAGCATTTTCTTTTTGGGGATTTTTTCTTTTTGGGTCACCCTGCCTTGTGGGAGATGGCCGACTTGTTAAAAAAAAAAAAAAAAAAATGGCATTCTCATTTTATGAATGTGTGGAAAATTCATATTTTGTAGAGACTGGTAAAGAACTGGATGTTTCATATTACAATTTTAAGCTTAATTTTATTTTTGGCTATACCCTGTGCTGTATTAATTTCTTACCAAGTGCATTGATAGTTTGTTTATGTTCATTTTGTGTGTGTCAAGGGTTGATGTTTGTTTGGTAAAGACTGGTAACTGGACTTCATAATTATGTTTCTTTGTTGATTAGCTGCTTTGATCAGCAAGGAAAGACTGGGGGATGGTTGGTATTCCAGAGGCTCAGGGTTCCCAGAGAGCCTGAGGAGTAGGCGCCAAGTTAGTGGCTCTGAGGAAAAGGACTTGCGGATTATTGGAATACTTGGGACTGGAGTGAGTTGCCAGAGTACCCTGGACTGGGGTCTCCTGATGGTTGTTGGGGAAAACACAAGCGAACGGATGAATGATCCACTTTCCCTACTCATCCAACCCAAGCCTAGCTCAAGTTGCACACTCCACCACCTCATCCCCCTCTCCTTCAAACACCACCATATCAGAAGATGAAGATCATATGTAAAGTGTGTTGTGTCAAATACACCAAGAAAGAGTAGCAGCGATCCACATCAATACATCAATTACATTCATGGGAGAGCACTAAGTCCATAAGGGTCATATAGCCCCTGGGGGAATGGGAAGCATTCAGGCTTTCAGGCTTGATCCAAGGAAGGGAAATATGGGTCCAATTCCTTGGATCAAGAGACCCCTCACAGGCTTCAAGGACCCTGAGGGGACAGCAGGGAATCCTTTTAATGCAATGTTTCTGGGTTTTATCAGATATACAGATACAAGCCAGTATACCACCTTACAAAGCAAACAGGCACCTTAAGGTCAGGATTGGAGAAAGACAGGTGTCACATGAGGTCAGTTACTGGTAAGGCTAAGGTGACTGGTTTATTATAATTATTTATTATATGAATCTTAAACATTGTGGATAATAGGTCCAGCCAACACATTTATTCCACTACTTCCAAGATTCTGCATTTAACTCTGTCATTTTCGTGGTGTAGCAGTTTGTGTGCTTCCCCATTTCACATTGTGAGAATGAAGGTTGCAATAGACCATGCATGCATTAATGGTTTTATCTCTCATGCAGGCATATTTATGTTCTTCATAAACTTAATTTTTCACATCATGGACTGCTACACCACAAAAACAACAGAGTTGGACACAGATTTTTGGAAGCAGCATCAATCTACCTCATCAGTACCACTGAGCAAAATAGTAGAATGTATATGTTGGAAGGACCTGTTATCCACACTGTCCATGATTTATATAATAAACAATAAACATGCCACCTTAACCTCACCAATACCTGACCTCAACTTTACCTGACCCCTCACCTGGAGTTTACCTGGAGAGAGTTCCGGGGGTCAACGCCTCCGCGGCCTGGTCTGTGACCAGGCCTCCTAGTGGATCAGAGCCTGATCAACCAGGCTGTTGCTGCTGGCTGCACGCAAACCAACGTACGAGCCACAGCCCGGCTGGTCAGGAACCGACTTTAGGTGCTTGTCCAGTGCCAGCTTGAAGACTACCAGGGGTCTGTTGGTAATCCCCCTTATGTATGCTGGGAGGCAGTTGAACAGTCTCGGGCCCCTGACACTTATTGTATGGTCTCTTAACGTGCTAGTGACACCCCTCATGTACTTAATCTTGAATTTTTTACCTCGTGTGACCTTTCTCTGAGTCTAACCTCAGGTAGCTTGTTTGCTTTATGAGGCTGTGTTTCCTTGATAAAGCCCAGCCTTGGATGAAATGTATCAAAAGGATTCTCTGCTACCAGTGTTTGTTGCCATTTGTTAGTTTGTCAGTATCTGCCTAATAGCCTGTTCTCTTACCCTCCTTCCTTTTACTTTCCCTCCCTCCCATTCTTCCATTCTAAATACAAGAGCAGAAATGGGAGTGAGAGGAAGAAAGAGAAAGGGAAAAAGAGTACAGTGGTCCCTTGAGTTATAATACTAATCTGTCATACCTCAAAACTATTGTAACTCATACCCCAAAATACATGCATGGTTTTTTGGTAATTCATTCACCCAACCTGCCCTTGAATACTTTTTGTTTAAACAATCTAGGAGTTTTCTGAGTGGTAAACAAACACAGGCTTCAGCTTAAAATCTCCAGAGGCTTTGGCAGAGGAGGCAATAGAGACAGGGCAGGGCAGGACAGGCTAGAGCAGGTAGGCACTGCAGGCAGGGCAGGACAGGCTAGAGAAGGCAGGGCAGGACAGGACAGGCCAGAGAAGGCAGGGCAGGACAGGACAGGCCAGAGAAGGCAAGGCAGAACAGAACAGGTCAGAGAAGGCAGGGCAGGGCAGGGCAGGGCAGGGCAGGGCAGGGCAGGACAGGGCAGGACAGGACAGGAAAGACCAGAGAAGGCAGGGCAGGACAGGGTTGGGCAGGCAGGCAGAGATTGGTAAAGAATTATAGATTTAATATTCATTCTTGATAGGATGGATAATGAGAACGTTCAAGACGAGATGCCAAGCCAATGATGATCCTTTTTAAATCACTTGTTCTCTCTAGGCTGGAATACTGCTGCATATTAACATCTCCATTCAAGGCAGGTGAAGTCACAGATCTAGAGAATGTACAGAGAGCCTTTACTGCACATATAAGTTCCATCACACACCCTAACTACTGGGAATGCTTGAAAGCACTTGACTTCTGTTCACTGGAGTGCAGGCAAGAGAGATACATCATAATCTACACCAGGAAAATCCTAGAGGGACTGGTCTCTAATCTGCATACAGAAATCACTCCCTGCAAAAGCAAAAGATTTGGCAGGTGATGGAACATACGCTAAATAAAAAGTAGGAGCGCCATTAGTACACTAAAAGAAAACATAATAAGTGTGTGGGGCCCAAGACTGTTCAACAGCCTCCCACCAGCCATAAGAATTACCAATAGACCCCTGGTTGTCTTCAAGTCAGTGCTGGATCAGCCAGGCTGTGGTTTGTACGTTAGACTTACATGCGGCCATCAGTAACAGCCTAGTTGATCAGGCCCTGATCCACTGAGAGGCCTGGTCATGGACTGGGCCACAGGGGCATTGATCCCTGGAATACCCTCCAGGTAGCAGGTAGTCTCCCACCCCCATGTCTGGAACACACATCTCCCTCCCACTCACCTCTGACACTCCTTCCACCATCACTCCATTTAAGACTTTTGCATAACCTAGTCTTGTCTCTGGGCTAAGGTCCCCCCACACCCATCCGATCATCGACCACATATCATATCTCAAATTTTTCATCGCAACTCAAAACTAAATCCCTTTATGAGAGTAAAGAGTAGAAACATTGGGGGGTGTTTCTTTCCACATGTTGTCTATGTTCCCCATCAGTAAAATGGGTACCTGGGTGTTAGTCGACTGGTGTGGGTCGCATCCTGGGACACTGACCTAATTTGCCCTAAATGCTGAGCATAACAAGGGATTTCTATATTGTAGTATGTCATTGATGTCAGCTAGGCCTGTTTACCATGTACATGTACTTGTAGTAAATATAGATATTATTATTATTATTATTAAATCGTAACTCAAGGGACCACTTGTACTGTACAAAATAAATAAATGAACAATAGGTAGTACTGTATCTTAGTCACATTTCTGATGCAGTACTGTATTTTATTTAATTTTTCTATAATTTTTTTTTTCAACAAATCGGCCGTAGCCCACCAAGGCAGGGTGGCCCAAAAAGAAAAACGAAAGTTTCTCTTTTTAAATTTAATAATTTATATAGGCGAAGGGGTTACTAGCCCTTGCTCCCAGCATTTTAGTTGCCTCTTACAACACACACAGCTTATGGAGGAAGAATTCTGTTTCACTTCCCCATGGAGATAAGAGGAAATTAACAAGAACAACAACTCGAAAGAAAATAGAAAACCCAGAGGGGTGTGTATATATATGCTTGTACATGTATGTGTAGTGTGACCTAAGCGTAAGTAGAAGTAGCAAGATGTACCTGAAATCTTGCATGTTTATGAGACAGAAAAAAGGACACCAGCAATCCTACCATCATGTAAAGCAATTACAGGCTTTCATTTTACACTCACTTGGCAAGACGGTAGTACCTCCCTGGGCGGTTGCTGTTTACCAACCTACTACCAACTTTTCTATAAATGTTTTCATAAAATTCTGCACATTTACCAGGTGTATTTTATGTGGTAAAATTTCCACATTAATTTTATTCAGTTTATTTTGATTTATCTTTTTCTTAAAATATGGTGAATACAATAATTTTATTAACATCAATTGTCAAACTTCAGAAACCATCAGTTGTATAGTATGTTTATAGAACTGCACATTTTTAAGTTGATGTAGATTAACAAACTAATATTTCAACATGTTTATATTACACCAAACATAGTACAGTACCTTTTGTGCCAAATTACTGAATAGTGATCATCTGTGGTTGTTTTCCTTTTTCTTTACTTATCTGTACATTTATAGGTAGGGTACTATATATATAGTATGAAATTGCATTCAAAGGTCCATTCTCTTAATAGTCTCTTTTTATTGTTTTACTTTTCTTGTACTATATTACACACATTAGTATTGTAGCTGTAAATATGGTGCCATTACCTGAACTGTGATTTAAACCTACTTGGTGGGCTGTAACCACACAGCAGCTCTGGAGGTTGGTGGTGTCAAGTGCAGTGAGCCTGGGCATTTAGTAGGCGGGCTCTGGGTATGTACAAAGTTGGCGTGGGGTCGAATGTGTCGGCCTGAGTGCCGGCAAGGCTACATTATGATCAAGAACCCTCCTACTCCCCTTTACATATGCGGTTCTTCCACTGGACGGTGGTACCCCAGCACGGAACTCCCAGTCTGCACACGTAAGTGGCTTTGATATACTGTTCTGCTATACTTGTGTTTATAGTTTTTTTTTTTTTTTAGTGTAGAAATACTGCAGAGTATCTGAAACTGAAACAGAAGCTTGAAGTACAGCACTTTTAGTTGTTCTTTAGTCATATTTTAAGGCTAACTATTTAGAGCATATAGTATAAGATCTTGTTTCATTGCACAGTACAATGTTTAGGTACGAAGAATTATTTTTTACGTTAAGGCAGAGTTTGGTGGTGATATGTCCAGAAGGGATCACTTGTATTTGCTCTTTCACTTACAGTATAACCTATCTGAGCTTTTGGGGCCAAAGTCTAGCTATTTGCCTCGCCTCTCTAATTTTGACTAACTTGTGAATTAGGCTATCAGTTAAGTATTTAATTTTGAACCCCTATTTGGAGTTGATTTTTACTTTGTCAGTCAAGGTATTTTCGTTTCCTCACTACACACTGAAAAAAAGTGTTTTCAGATGTATCTGTAAGTGTGTATCATCCATCCGTGACATGGTTCTTATTCTTTCTTGAGTAAAGAGTTTATATTTGTGTATGCTCAAAGGATTTTCTTATGGCTGTTTTAACATTGTAATACAGGAACAACACTATCCTAGTTATAATTTAGGGGTAAACAAAACTTTTTTCAAAACTACATGCTATAAAAAGAAAAGATATTTCTTTCAGACAAAAAAAAAAAAAAAAAAAAAAAAAAATGTACTCAGAATTTTTCCTCTAAAATACACACACAATTTTTTTTTTATTCAGTATGTTACTTCTATCAGGCATATATGAGAATGTTAATTCAGAGTAAGTGGTAGACAGGTGGAGTATAGGATTTAACATGTTTTTATGTGACCAAACCAACTTTTATGAAGGAATTCTGGGAAGCAAGATTTGAGTTTTGAAAGATGGGAAGTACAGTGTCTGCTCTCTGAAGGATCAGTGAGGATGTTGTGGTTTGTAGGGTCATTGAAACTGGGATGTATGTACATGCACTTCTGGAAAAAGCCAACTAGAGAATGAGTGATGATTTCACTACTAATTTGGGTCACCCTGTCCTAGTAAGAAATAGTAGTTGTATTAAAAATTACTTCATGTGCATTTTGAGCAATTAGTAAATCAGGAATTAGTGTTCTAACCTAGATTGTTCTTAGTTTTGTGATGGTGTATTAGAGATTTTGGTCTGGGTTTCTATTTGTATGTTAAATCAAGTAATGTGGAGCTTTAGTGCAGTGTATGGCAGAGGTGTTGTGGAATGGTTGTACCTCCTCTAAGATTTAGTTAGCAAATTAACTATGGTGCTTAAGATCTATTATATTATGTTAATAAGGGTTGTACATATGAAAAACTCCTGGTACTTAGGAATGTGTAAATTGATAACAACAATTATTGAAATTTTATTAACCCTTTCGGTGCCAGTCCCGTTATATCATGGCTTTGAAGACAGTGTCAGTCCCTTAGTATGATGCCATGAGCTCAGCTCATGGCATCATACTAGCTAGGAATTGGGTTGAACTGAGCATGGGAATTGATGTGTAGGCAGAATTGCCAATGCATAAATTGTGTCAAGATCACCATCTTTGTGCCTGTAATTCCCTAAGTTTTCCATAAAATTTTATATTTTTTATATTACCTTCCTTAAAAGTTTTTCTGCCATTTGAGAAGAATTTTTTTTTGTCTAAATCATGACACTGTCAGCACTTTTAATTTCCGGGGTCATGACAGTGTGTAAGCTTGTCCTTGCTTCTATGGACATCAGACACTGTTTCTTAACACCATATTCCTCACATACTTGTGCCACTGAGATGCCAGACTCAACCTTCTTCATTAGTGCAAGTTTCTGATTAAGAGGCCATTGTTAATTGTACTTTATTCATATTCATATAGTTTATTTGGACACGATACATGGTTGTACAAGTAATTATAGTACTAGTTGGGTGTACATGCCAAAAGCCCCTTGTATGCAAAGCATTATGGGCAGGCTTAAAATTAACTTTAAATTAACAAGCAATGAAAGGTTCAGTGGTAGAAATTACAGTAAACAGTTTACAATATGAAGCACAATTGAGTATTTGAAATAATGAAATTTGAACATGTCAATATTGAAGTATTATATTTGTGCAAATTTGTCACATTAGAGTGTATAACAAACAAGTTGATCAATTTACTATATGTTGTCTTGAAGTTTTAAGATTTAAGTAATTGGGAGAATTATTGGTAATGTTAAATACTGAGTGTTGATTATTTAGTCCTGGGCGAGTAAGTGGTTTTTTAGAAGAGTCTTAAATTAATTTTCAGGCCTGGTTACTTAAGTATGTTCTGGTAATGAATTCCAGATTTTGGGGCCCTTTATGTGCATAGAGTTTTTACAGTGTGATATGGACATGGGGTACATCAAAAAGAGATCTGTGCCTTGTGTTATGGTCACAGAAATGCAGATCTAGGGAAAATTGTAGACTGAATGGCATGTGTATGCTTCAGTGAGCACAAACAAACTGGCATGGGAGGCCTATGGCTCTGGGAACAATGAAAACAGACAGGTCCTGGACATGGCTGTTCTGACCCACACTGGGCAAATGTTAGTCATCAGACTGGTCTGATGCTTCAGAAGATAACTGGACACTTGCTACAGATAAAATCTGGAATTGCAAACTTTTTCCATTTTGTCCGATTACTTCTGTTTGCCCAGCCAATTTTTTGTCCAGAATTGCTGAAGTCCATTAATGAGAGGTTTCACTGTGCTTTAGAAATAATATGAGATAACACATATGTAACCAAACTTAGGATTTAAGCATGTGCTAAAGGTATTTTTTTTTTACTTTTAACCTTTACATTGTCAAACTTGTATTCTCCAGCCACCGTTCCAGTCCAACCAGGTCTTGACTGTCTGCCCGGGTTTGAATGGAGGGAAACCCATCCCTATGTATGCTGTGAGTACAGTACTTAATTTAATTCTTATTATATGAACTGTTTACCTTAATGCTTAGTTTAAGAAAAAAAAATTAGAGATTTGCAATGAAAAATTAGCCAAGCATCAAAATAAGAGAATTTCCAGGGTTTCATCATTAGTCATCTTGAGTTACAAAATATTAGCCTTTCTTATGAATTGTGCTTTACTGATACAAAAACTTGTAAAAATGAACATAGTGTATGTTAGGGAAAAATTTAAACTTTTGCATCACAAATTAGATAAAGATGGAAGGGACATATACAGAATCTATTTGGCTGCAGTTTCTCAAAGAGCAAGAAAAGCTAATCTTAGGTGTGATCTACAGACCTCAAACCATGATAATGACCATGGTACATTTCTTTGAGATGAAATTGCTCAAACATCTAGAAATGAAAATGTAGTTAAAATGGGAGATTTTAACTTAACCAAATCAGTTGGAACACTTTGACAGGTAATTTAGAATAACAGTTTTCTTGAAGTTGTCCAGAACTGTACATAAGTGTTATACGTATTTGTAGACATTTCGTGAAATTAAGGTTGCAAGGGAATCAAAGACCATTCTTAAGGGTTTCTTTCAGGTATACACATATAGGAATCAAATTAGAGAAAAGATAGGTCCACTTAAATGTAACTCAGGTCAGCTTACTGTTAAGGACAAAGAAATGTGTACTATTTTTGACACTTATTTCCTTTGTTTTTATACAAGAGGATATAAACAGAATCCCAGAAATCAATACGTATACAAGTCAGGAAGGAAACAAATTATGTAATATGGAAGTTGCTAGCAACAGGTCAACTGGCCCTGTTGACCTGTTTTCAAGGGTTCTAAAGGAATGTAAAGAAAAACATAGCAAACCCTTAGTCTTTTCAGCATATCACTACAAACAGGGATTGTACCAGATAAACGGACAATGGTAGATGTGATACCTATTTACCAAGTAGGAGATAGATCCTTAGCTTCAAATTATAGATCAATCAGCCTAACCTCAAATGTGGGAAAGTTGGAGTCAGTGATTGCTCAGGCAGTTTGAAGCCACCTTAAAACAAATAAATATTACGATAATGAATCGCAGCATAGCTTTGCAAAGGGGGGGTTATTGCCTTATGAATTTACTGACCATTTTCACTAAGGTTTTCAAGGCAGTAGACCAAGATAAGAATACAATATTGTATATATGGACTTCGGTAAGGACTTTGATAAAGTTCCACACAGGAGACTAATTAAGAATGTAGTGGGACATGGAATAGGAAAAGAGATTATCTCCTAGGTCAAGGCATGGCTGCCCAATAGGGAACAGAGAGCTTGCATTAATGGGGACCTGTCACAAGTGTGTGCCACAGGGATCAGTGTTGGGATCCTTGTTCACTATCTACATAAACGACATTGATGAGAAAATAAATAGAAACAAACGTAAGTTTGCAGATGACATTAAAATATAACATCAAATAATTTTTGATGTGGACACTAGGATGACCTAAATATTGATGTGGTTGGAGAAGTGGCAGATGCTGTTCAGTGCAGACAAGTGTAAGATGCTAATACAAGGTAAAGGAAATACAGTGGACCCCCGCATAACGATTACCTCCGAATGCAACCAATTATGTAAGTGTATTTATGTAAGTGCGTTTGTACGTGTATGTTTGGGGGTCTGAAATGGACTAATCTACTTCACAATATTCCTTATGGGAATAAATTCGGTCAGTACTGGCACCTGAACATACTTATGGAGTGAAAAAATATCGTTAACTGGGGGTCCACTGTAGTGGTACCTTGACTTTCAAGTTTAATTCATTCCATGACCGAGCTCGTAACTCAATTTGCTCGTGTATCAAATCAATTTTCCTCATTGAAGTTAATTGAAATGCCATTAACCCTTTAAATTGTCCAAACGTAGATCTACGTTCACTCGTGTAGCGCTTCGAATGTAGATCTACGTTTGATTTTACATACTTTCTTATGAAAAAAAAACATAGAACTACATTCGGAGCACTACGCAAGTGAACATAATCTATGTTTGGGCAGTTTAAGGGTTAATTTGTTTCAGCAGAATTCATGGCTCTCAGGAGGCAGCAGAAAATATGTACTTCAATATTACGCTAATATCAACTCTGTGGCTTACTTATCTATCACAATTGATCTAATATGACATAATCAATATAAATAACATAGAAACATGATATATACTCTAGAATGAATAAAATGTCATGTGATGAGTGGTGGCGGCCACTCTCGAGGTAAAAATAATTATATCTGACTATATCTTCCCATTTTTGCCTTTCTGAGGTCGTATTATAACTGCACTAGATCACTAGTTTCACAAGGAAAACACTGAAACAAAAGCGATTTTCTCGTGTTTTCCTATGATTTCATGCTTTAATTCAATGAACATCGTCCTCTTCTTCTCAGCACTGTCCTTTGCACTTACTTCCTTAAGGCCCATGGATAGAAATAAAAAATTTGGCAAAATAACTGCACAAAATGCTGGGCGGATGTTGTGGTGTTCGCTGCACCAACTAATGGCAGCGTATCTGAAGCTCACTTGCAACTCGAAGCAGAAAATCGACCGAGCGACAGCTCGTAACTCGGAAAACTTGTAAGTTGGAGCATTCACAAGTCAAGGTACCAGTGTAACTGGCACCTATAAGCTAAACATTGTAGATCTTAGTCAAAGCGAATACAAAAGATTTAAGAGTTCTGGTTAGCAGAAATTTATATTATTATTATAATCAAAAAGTAGTGCTAAGCCACAAGGGCTCTACAGCGCTGCAGGGTAGGGAAGGAAGCGAGGGTATTGGATGGCAGAAGGGAGGAGGGATGATCAGTAGGTTACAGAAAACAGCGGGGCAGGGGATAGTACGGGGGTAGAGGGTAGCAAGAGATTGAAGTAGAAAGGGCTGAAGGTATCAGAATTTGTGAAGTAAGTCAGTTGTTGTCAAAATGAGAGAGTCTGGATGAAAGGTGGGTCCATCAGCGAGAAGGGAAGGTAAAGAGAGAGCAGCAGAGCGAAGACGACGACGGAGGTAAATTCTGCGTGCTCGTTGATAAAGTGGGCAGTCCAACAGAATGTGGCTGACTGATAATGGAACTTGGCAATTCTCACAGAGAGGAGCAGGGCGCCTCTCCATGAGTAAGACGAGTATGGCCAATGCGAAGACGGGAGAGAGTAGTCTCCCAACCTCGACACTGGTGATAAGAAGACGGCCAGTAACCTATACTCGGTTTAACCCTTTCAGGGTCCGTCCCGTAGATCTACGGCTTTACGGTGAGTGTCCAAACCGTAGATCTACGCCATGAGCTCAGCTCACTCTGATAAACTGTGAGTGGTACATTTGGGCCTAGATATGAGAGAATACATCTATGTGGTATGTGTGCACCACATAAAACAGATCCTGCAGCACGCTGTGTATAATGAGAGAAAAAAACTGAAATCATGATTTTTCGATTAAAACAGCAACTTTGCAGTGTTTTTTCGTATGTTTTTTATAGTTGTATTTGCGATTTCTTGGTCTCATTTGATAGAATGGAAGACATGTTACAGAAATAGAGATGATTTTGATTGGTTTTAGCACTGGAAATGGCTTGAAACTGAGCTCAAAGTAGCGGAAATGTTAAATTTTTGCCGATATTCAAGAGTAAACAAACGACCTCACACGTCTAATACACGTCAGCTGGTGGGTCTAATATACATTCACAAATATGGTGATGATATTTATACAATTATTACAGTATTGCATAACAGTAAATCTTCTATTTTTTGGTGTGAATAAAAATTCATTATGTGAATAAAAAATCAAAATGGAATTTATTTGTAAAGCCTCAAAACATAACTAATGAACAGAGGAAATGTTAGTTTAGTGCCAGGAATGCCTACATTGTTTATTCTGGACCCTATTTTGAAATTGGAATATTTTGAACTTTGTGTTAAATTGGCCAAATTAACAATTTCCGATCACTTTATTTTGTAGTTGAAACGGTTGACTTGGCGATTTCTTGTGCTCAATCGATAGAATAGAAGTAATACTAGTGAAATAGCTAAGAATTTGGTTGATTGGAATAATGTAATTGGCCTAAAATGGGAGTCAAAGTCAGTAAAATCGCCGATTCGTAAATATCGCTGACACATCAAAATTCGCGAGAGCATAATTTCGTCAATTTTCCACCAAATTTCGTACTTTTTGTTTTATTACCTTCACAAAAAGATTCTCTACGATTTCATAAGAAAAAATAACAAATTTTTTTTTTGAAAATTCTTGGACACTGGTGCGTGACTCCAGATTTGGGCCTTGGACCCTGAAAGGGTTAATAGATTGAAGTTTGTTGCCGAGCATAGTAGACCAACGTTGTTGCCAACGGGTGTGAAGTTGGGAAGATATTGCAGCAAAATAGTCCGTAAATGGAATACCTCTACATGAAACTGGTAGGTCATGTACTGCTGACCGCAGCAGTGTCTGCCTGTTCATTGCCCTGTACGTCAACATGACCAGGGACCCAACAAAAAACAATATTTTTATGCTTGGTAAAGATGCGGCGTAGCCAAAGTTGGATACGGAGGACTAAGGGGTAAGGTGTATCAAATTTCTGTATAGCCTGTAAAGCACTAAGGGAGTCTGAGACAACCACAAATGCTGACACAGGCATAGATGCAATACGGATAAGTGCTGTAAGGATGGCATACAATTCAGCAGTAAAAATACTAGCCGAAGATAGTAAATGCCCTTGTATTACGCTGTCCGGAAATACTGCTGCGAATCCTACGCCGTCAGAAGACTTAGAGCCATCTGTGTACACAGCAATGGCATGAGAATGAGAGTGAAAGTGGTCAAGAAAAAGAGAGCAGGAAGCGACCGTAGACAGTTGGGCTTTTGAGCAAGGGAGAGAGAAAGAACAGACTCGAACAGCTGGAACTTCCCAGGGGGGTAGGGAAAAGTGAGATGCTACATGTACATTGAAGGGTGGTAATTGAAGAGAAGACAAGAGCG